GATTGTAGTGAATAAATTCTCTATTTCATCACCACTATGACCATTTGTAAATTATCATAAAAATTGCTATCTCGCGAACAAATTTTTACCTTAAAAAAAATTTATAGCTATTCAACTGAAACGAAAGAAAACGAATTTAAAACAATCCAGTCAGTTACCCTTAACTTTTCACTGCAGGCTGATCCTTGCCTATCAGCAATGATATAAAGAGAGTTAAAAGTTCAAATAATATCATTTTTCTAGGCATGCTGCAGCAGATAAGAACTTTACTGAAGAAAGGAAGCAAGAAATAAAATTGTTGTAGAAACTGTGTTGCAAAACAACATTTTCTGTAAGTTTTTTATCCTAAACCGTGATGTTATGTACTTTCAGTAGCGCCCGCCTTACATCGATGGATTTGGCTAATTCTAAATTGATCTGCGCAGATATCTATACAGACTATAAATGATGCAATTAATTGCTCAGCTACTATCAACAAGGTTGCTAAATGAATGATAGAGATTTTCCTTCTACAGTACGACACACAGGTGAGTTGGTACTTCAGCAACATATGGGCTAGAAAATTTTTTGATGCACCACAAGTTTTTTGGCAGATAATGGGTTGTGCGCAAAAATATGCGCCATTTTTTCTTTTCCTTGGTCTAATTCACAAATTTATTATATCAATTAAACTCCATTGTTTTATAGCTTAATTTATCGTTAGAAAACTTACATCATACTCTTTCAAATTAGAAATTAGCCCAAAAAGAACTATAGTGAAACATTTGAAAAATGCTACGGGTGCACAGAGTTTATCGCATCCTTTCAGAAAGTCGCTACACGAATGGCATTAAGGTCAATGCGTTTGGTAGCCCTTATGCAAAATGTTGGCTATCACCAATAAGTGGTCATCAAAAGAGACACGCGCACAACTTGTTGATTACAAATAAAGAAATCATGTAAGAGAATTAGCAATAAATTTCTTGAAAAAAAATTTGCAAAAATCAAAAATTTTAACATACTTGTTGTAAGGAGCACCCATTTCGTTGATGACTTTCTTGAATGAATTAAACTTACTACCCTCAGCGTAGACGTTGTCCTAAATAAACAAAGAAAAATCCCATAACCCGTCGATCTAAGCGCAGAACACAAAACAAATCTTCCTCACCTGATACACTTCATCAGCCATGAGGAATAGATGATGTTTGTGAGCAAACTTTATTACTTCTTCTATATTTTCTCGCGAAAGTACCTGAAACTCTTGAATGCGTGCAGGTGGGATTACTATTTAAATGTGCTAACAAAAGCCGCGTCACCTGGCCAGTAGGGTTTCCTGGGTTTATAACGCAAAGCACTTTCGTGTCATACTTCTTTAAACTTTCTGTATATGCTCTCTCCAATTCACTCACGTTAAGACCCCAGTTCCTCTCCTCTTCAAGGTAATATCCAACCTTAAAATAAAAACAATTACTAGGATAAGTGAGACCAAACTTACGTACCTGTCCAAGGGAAAATTCTTCAACGGAAGCAGAGTATAGAGGATACTGGGGGATGGGAATCATAATTCCTGCTTTTTTGGGACCTTTATTATTCATGAACAGTTTCAATACATTCCTTATAGACTCTGAAGCACCACCAGAAAGGCAGACATTTTCCGGGTCCGATGGAATACCACCATCACGTCTCTGAAAAGATAGTGAGAAATTAGTCTATGGAAAAACCACAAATGGTGATAAGAAAGATTTTTTGGTTTCTATGTTTTAAACATATGTGAAACTAAGTCTCATTCCTGTGCCGTTCGCTGTTACAGCAGAAACTCTTTCTAGAATAACCTTCCTGAAGTTCTCCAAAAGCTGGTAGCTTAGCTCGATTAAACAGTATGACTTCCACTGCCATCTTTTCTTTAAAAAAAACGGCATCCAATCTATTGAAAAACAGGGTTAAGA